AGTTTTGGTTTTTTGCCTTATCACAAATTTTAGTACACTACTCATAAAAATTAAAGGACAAAAAGAAAATCCTAATTTTTTAGGTGATTTTCGAAAGGCTGCAACATGGCGAAAAATGTTCATAAAACAATAAAAAAAGCAAATTGGAGCTCGAAGGTTCTAGTTTCAGGATCTGAAAGTCAAAAATTTTTTATCCTATATCACATTTTAGAAATCAAAAGAAATCCCGGGAGATTTTTTTTTTATAATTTTTGCTTCACTTTCAACAGGTCCAGGGGCCTCAAAATTTTTTTTTTGGCAGTCCCATATGTCGTCTCTTTTAGTTTAATTCATCCTCTTTGATTTGAGCTGTTCAAGACCTTTATATCATTAAATCAAAAATAATTGTTTTGGCTTTGATAAATTAATTATTTGGAAAGTAGTGGTCCTACAGAAAATCTAAGCAGATATTTGAAAAGTTCAGACTATCCTCCATACGACCTTATCGTTTTTGGATATATTAATTTCTTTCAATGCAAGAAACTTGATTCCAAAATTTGCTTATTTGAGGATTTTTGTTAAAATTGAGATTGATATTGAAGAGGTTTTTGTTTTTTTTTACCTCAAAATAATCCAAATAACCTGTACGCTCCGGGTAGAATGTATTTCCTTGTCGTGAGGATACGGCCGCATAACAGCTGAATCGTTCGTCGGTTGTCTCACATATGACACACTAATGAGGACTAATAAGTCTGAAACCGGTCTGTGCCTGGTGAGTTAAACTGACGAACGATCCTAGCTGTTGCACTAGGTGTTGCGAGCATAATTCAGTGCCGGTCAGGGCATATAGCCCGCGGAGTAGTTGTTTCTGGCAACACTGACAATTAAAACCTCTCAAGACTTCAAACGGCTGCAATTTTTCTTTCATTGTCAAAAATCAATTAAAGGATAAATTTTGCATTTTTAAATCATTTTCTCTTTAATTGAAAATGTTTTTTCGCAAAAATATATATTTTCTTCGTCAAAAATTGTCATGTAAAAAAAAGAAAAATTTGAATTTTTTTTTTTTGGAAAAAAATAATTTTTATTTACTTTCTCAAATTTCGGATACTTACCGAGTTCTATAACTCACAAATTGTTTTCATGAGCTTTAATACTGAGAAAAATAAGATTTTTTTTTTTAATTAACCCCAAGGTCTTTTCTGTATATTAAAAAAAAATAAATATTTTTTGACTATTTGACAAGCATTTTTTAGATATTTTTATAATTTAAATTAGATCAGTACCTTTTCCCAAAATTCTTTCAAAAGTAATTTTGGGTAAGAATGACTAATTTTCTTCTTGCAATTTGTTTACATAACTGCTAATTATTTTGTAACTCGGTAAAAGATCTGCCCTTTTCATTCAAGAAAATTTCAATTTCTGCACAAAGTTTATTGAATAAATGGAATTTAGTATAGCATTCTTTGTACCCATATCTGACTCGAAGCCATACTGATTGTTTTATAATGATCTTACATATTTTCCCAATAATTTGTTAACCTAAGGCTTAATGTTTATATAAAAATTTGTACGATATCGTTCATAACCGACATAATCCCATAATGTTAAAGTACAATTAGTTTATTACAGGATAGTATGTACATGTGATCATATAAATCAGTGTCACAACCGCAGGTAGCCATGTTTTAAATTAATGTTACAATAGTCTTCTCTTACCTTCTTTCCCCATCTTCCGATTTTATGTCGATACTTTCAGTTTTGATTGACATTTCCATCTCTTTAATATCGAATTCTTTGTCCAAGTTTTCAGTCTTAACCAATGAATCGAGTGGAGACGTATCTATCTGACTTTCTGTGGCTGAACTATCAAAAATACTTCTAATTTTTTCTTCTACCTCTGAACAATCTTTGAGGAAACTGTTGTGAGTACACAGAGAATCGAAGCATGGCTTACAAACAACGGAATCTTTGATGATATTTATATACTACAAAGTAGTTTCGTTAAATTATAAAATATGCAAGTAATTAACATTGTTCCTACCATTTCAGGTATCAATTTCTCAATAGCTTGGAGTTCATCTTCACATATGCACCTAAACTCCCTCTCTACTGGCTGCATACACAATCGACATATTTTCCGACTGCAAACTAACTCACTTTTCTTTTCCTGTACATACACTTCTCTTAAGTCGGGCTGTAACATTTTTTCGCTGTCTACATATTGAATAATTGTGTTATCGGTATTCAAACACGTTGACTTAAATTTTAATGCTGTATTTAACTTTCTTCTGCAAACGTTACATATTACCTCTTTGCTCTCATCATCAAATTTCTGAAAAATATGCAGCTTCAGACAGCAATCTAATTATATTTCTCCGACTTACCAATTTCAGCAAAAGAACATCTAGAATGTCTCTGATAATGTTGTTTATCACTTCAAAACTTTCATCGGTTATATTTTTAAGGCAAAGCCTACACGACGTTTCCTTAACATCAGTCATTGTTCTGCAACAATTTTGCAACAAAATATAAACAGAAAATAGAACGCAGACAAAAATACAAAGCAAAAAGCTAATCGTCACTTCTAACCTTCTTGCTTCTTGCCATATGACACCATTGGCAGTTGGCAGTGTTGGCACTATTGCATAGAAAATATAGCACTATATTTTCTATGCACTCAGGGAGACTAGATAAGGAGCACGAACTCAAGCTGGACAATGCGTCTAATAAGTCATCTGAATCATTGGACTCAAAATCGGACATCTGTAATATTTTAAAAAGTTTATTTAAAATGAAGAGTTTTATTATATTCTATTTTTTTTACCACAAGTAAAAATTCTTAAATTTTTAAAGGGAACTTCATGTATAAAATGTGACTATTTTTTATTTACATTAAACTAAAATCGTTAACAAAATAATTATCAAAAACATAAACCTTACTTATAGGTTAATATTAATAAGATCACGTCATAAATTCCTTGAAAACTAGTTTCTTTTTCTTTCTACGAACACCAAATTCTTCTCATAAAGCTAATATTTTTTATTATCTATTTAGTTTAATTATAGTCCGGAATGACATATTTTCATGATTTATATAATTCAAAGTAGCTTACATTATTTATTTTAAAATTTTTAACACATTACAAAAATGACATGATTGATTTATAATTCAAACTGCCGCTTTTTATCTCCCCTCTCTACATATGGGACATATGGAACACTAGCGCCCTCTTATTTTTGTAAGATTTTTGTTTACATGGAGTTCGGGCTCCTTGTAT